AAGGGAAGGGGGGGGGGAGAAGGTGGGTCCAGCTCCCCACAGCTGTAGGGGGATGAGAAGGGGGCTGTGGGCGGAAGTGAGGGGCACTGGCACAGCTGGGATGGGGGGAATGTAGATGGGGGGGGCTGTGGGCAGAAGTGAGGAGCACCGGCACGGCTGGGATGGGGGGATTGCAGATGGGGGGGACTGTGGTTCAGGAGTGAGGCGCACTGGCACAGCTGGGGTGGGGGGCACCAGCAGAGCAGGAGAGGAGGCCCCCCCCCCCAGCCTGGGACACTTGCATACACATGTGCACACACAGTGCATCTCCCCACAACCTCCCCCGGTGCCACACAGTACCATCCCCAGCTAGCCAGGTACCTTGAGAGTCTGAACCCCCCACCTCCGAACACACACCCGTGCTCCTCGTGGCCTCATCCAGGCCAAAACCCACAGCACTGACCTCGCCCTGGGGCCTCACACCACCTCCGACACACGCAAGCCACCTAGCTGCTCCCCAGAGGTGGCTGCATTTCAGCCAAAGGGAGGCCTGGCTGGCTGCATTCTGCACCGCCCCCCACCCCAGGGTCCTGAACTCTGCTCCTTTGGGACCCTGGCAGAGGCCATCGCAGAGCCCACAGGCTATGCTCCGGGGTGCTCCAAGGTCACAGGTCAGGGCCCCAAGCCAGGGGGCTGCATTTAAATCATGCATGTGGAGGATACGTCCATGCACACGCCGCACAGGCACATGTGTGCACACCTCGCCCCTTCTGCTGCAGGGTGTGTCAGCTCCCTGGCGCCGTCCAGTGGGCATGCCGGGTAGTGCCAGCATCACCCACACTGGCTGGGAGATCAGGTCAGACCAGGGCAGAATCCAGTCCTGGTGACCTTTGCCCTCTGCTGAGATGCTGGGGTGAAGATAGCCCCCCCAGCCCCTCCCCACCTCTTGTGCAAGGGTATTGCAGGGGGAGGGAGGAGCTAGCCGGTGTCCCCCCAAACGCAACACCCTGTGGCCATTAACCCTTTGTATCCCAGCAGCCGACACAACACAGGGGCTGGGACCCTGCCCAGTTGGGGGCTGCTGGGGGAAAGCTGGTGGGGGGTTACAAAGCTGAGGGGGGTCCTGGAAACACAGGGGAACCTCAGCCCTGCCCTGCTTTGCCTTCCAGCCTGGTGCCCCTCTGGGGTTAATCCTTCCTGCCCGTCACTCATTAATTCCCCACCATGTCACCCCCAGCCCCCCTTCTGCTTCTGCCCCGCAGGGGGTCACGGACACAGGTCTGGGGGTTACTCATTAACCATGTGAGGAGGTCCCAGGCTCCAAAGTGCGTGGTTAATGGGGCTGCTGAGGTGTTTGGTGCCCGGAGCCAGGGCACGACGGGGTGGCAGGTCACACTCGGCTCCAGAAGAAACAGGAGCTGCAGCCCTGGGAGTTCCCCTGACATGCCATGAGCAGGGCAGTTCTCAGCCTGAGCTCCCACAAATGGTCCTCAGCGCCATCCTGGAAGTGGGGGGAGGTTTGGGACCCCGCGCTTGCCTTGGGGCCTGCCCCCAGTCTCTTGGTGAGGAGAAAAGCTGAGGCGCACACACAGACATGGAGGAGCTGGCTATGCTCGGGGCCTCAGCGCCCCATCCTCTTTACTGAACAGCACCAGAAAGACAGAGCCGGGTCAGCGCTGCCCCTGCACGCCGTCTCCGGCGGCCACGGACCCCTCCATGCAGCCTCCAGCCCAGCCCTGGCCCCAGGTCTGGGGTTCCCAGTCCAGAGAGGATGGCTCAGTTCGGCACCCCCCCAGCCACCCAGCTGCCCCCCAGCTCCATGAAGCTGTGCGGGAATGAGCAAGCACGGCTGGTGCAAGCAGGAGCCAGCCCAGCTGCTGCACCCCGTGGCTCTGCTGGCCCCATCCTGGTTGCCACGTGCTGGAGATGCTGCCCCACCCCAGCCATGCAAAGACCCCAGCCCCTGGCCCATTGCATGGGTCTGGTGTGTGACCCCCCTGCAACACCCAGCTCTGGAGCAGCCTGCCCTTACATGGGGTAACAGCCGCCGACTGCTGCTGGGGAACTGCCACTCAGGCCCAGGAGGCCTGAGGCAGGTAGCAGTACAGTGCCCAGCTCCCTGCCCAGGCTCTGGCTGAATACCCAGGGGTGCAAGGTCTGCACCAGGGGTCGTCCAGCCCCTTCCCTGCCAGCCCGTGGTAGAGGGAGCTTCCAGCATCCCCAGCACAGAAAATCTCTTTGGGCTGGTACATC